TACGGCTGATTTCGAGTTGCCGATAATAGAACAGCTGGTTAACACGCAGTTCAAATGGAAAGGGTGCCGAAGAAAAAGAGACTGCCGACAATAGTCACTCTCACCTGAGAAGTTTGGAGCGCTGTAAAAACATGTTCAACCCGTTTTGATCAATTCTGTCGATTGGAATTGGTAGAACAGCAAGCAGCAGATAAATGTCAACAAACAAACCTGTCATGTATGAGTGTGACGCTGAGAAATCGCTAATAGAAGTTCGGACGCTGCTTAGATTGACGAGAATACGTTAATTCCCCTATCGCTTGCTTGTTGCAATATACACGGTTGAGGATATAGCGTGAGCGGAATCGATAAAAGACACACAAACATCCCATTAACGCTCGTGTATCATCTTCGTGAAGCAGCTTGGCAACAATTTGATCGCTTCCTTCTAGGATTGGACGATCTTCAGAGAAAGATCACTCTTGACGGATCGATCTTATATTTAGCTCTAGAATCGATTCACTGAAGAATCGATCTTTGTTAGTTCTTGTTTTAATACGCATGTTTACGTTCGTACGCCAAGAAATTCTTTCCTTTATAATATTCAATGAAATGTTGTCGTGACGGTAAGGAGCAATGAGCACAGGAGCGAGGTAGCCCAAACCTTCAAATATTGCTGTATTCTTAAATACCGGAAACGCAAATAGTGACGTCATTGTAGGTAGCGATACTGATGTTGACGTTATGTTCGTAAATTTACAACGCAGTTTGCGGTGAGGTTAAATCGTTTTTTCGATGTAAATACATTTAAAAAGTTTAACATCTATTTTTTTTAAGATCGAAAAGATCGAAAGAAGAGATCGATTTTTTCGATCTCTTCGTGGACAAAGAATCAATCCGAAAAATCGTGAATCGGGATGAAAAAGATCGATATTCCAAAGATCGATCCAAGATCGCCCAATCCTATTTCATTCTACCAGTCCAATATAGCTCAATCGGCAGTTTGTCATGACAAAAAGGCAAGAAGATTATATCACTATTGTTTGCCATCTCTGACATTGCGTTATCGTTCGGCTCGTTGATCACTTGTCATTTTGTCATTTTGAGATATTTTTAATGCCTTGCATAGGACATAAGAAGCTCAACTAGCTCGTTTCACGATTCTTTTGTGAAACAGGCTGAGGGAGCGAAAACATAATTCAAGCTGACAATGCATTAGGTACTAAGTAACATTGACAGTTTCTTTTCGTCGACTTCCTCTTTGCATCTTCACAACTCTGTTAAGACATTCCCAGCGATTTACAGCACTCAGATCGACGAAAGAAGCTATTATCTTACTTCTAAGGTCTGTATCCACATTAATTCGGACATCTTTAAATCACTGCAGCTTTTGAAATATTGCACGTAGGAGTGAAAATCAGTTGAAGATGCTAATTACCACTTTAGTCTGTTATTTGAAATTAGCATCTTCAACTATGTAAATCGTTGACTTCACGCAGAAGTAATACTAAAAATATAGTCAAAGTACATAACTCTGGATGGGAGCATACCATCAATTACTGTCATTGGTCGAAAGGTACAGTAGCAGCACCTACCCCACCCGTGTCCCCTCGAGATCGTCAAGTCGACGACGACAGGAGCACATACCGTAGTAGGGGTAAACAATAGCTGCAATTTCCAAACCTACGACTGGATGCCTTTCTTCAAATAACAACTGAAGTGCAGTAAAAATCGGTAGAACTGTTTCAAACACATCGTTGGTACTAGAGCGGGTCGGCGTTCATCTCTTTTTGCCAGTGGTGGCGGAGGGGGACACCCCTCACCATCCCTCTCCAAAGGGGGAGTTTGCTAAAGAGAGATGAAAAAACCGATTTGTACCTTCCTTAAAAGTTGTCCTACCTCGCTATCTACTATCTATATGCAATTTTCACACTGCCGTACTCTAAACGGAACTATCAATTCTATACTTTCATCTCCTCACTCTATCGTATAAAAATTACTACTTCAGTCTGTTATTTGAAATTAGCATCTTCAACTATGTAAATCGTTGACTTCACGCAGCAGTAATACTAAACATATAGTCAAAGTGAAAATCGGGTTAATTAGGAGGTATAGCTGGCAGTCATTGATGCAAGAGGCTATGATTGGTGTTTACATTCCATGTTTAGTGTTCAAGATGGCGACGAATTAAAAACACGTGCGCGAGCGGATTTTGTACGGACGTAATACAAATCCTGACTTGCCAATACGGGAACTTGCAAAAAAAATGGATCTACCTAAATCCACTGTTCACGGTGAGCTCAAATCATGTTCGGAACGTTTGATGGATCGAGAAGCGATAAAAACATTGGACGTGCTGATCCTGTCATGGACCGAAAGGTAAAGAGGATATTGAAGGAAAACACGAATCTCTCTGTTCGAACGGTGGCTCGTAAAATAGGAATGTCACCTGGTTTTGTCCAAAAATCAAAACAGCGTTTGGGGCTGAAGTCGTATAAAGTAAAAACAGTTCCATATCGCAACTGCAAACGGAATTTGACAGCAAAATCACGGACTCGACGTTTGTACCAACCGATGGAAACTAACGATTTTAAATTGGCTCACTACTTGACTAGCCTATTGGTCCCTAGCAAATCGATTAATGTACCCCATTCTAGTCGAAATTCTAGTACTACACTATGTTTGTTTTGATTCGCTATGAAGGTTTGACAGATAAAATGAGGGGTTCGTGAATTTTTCGTATGTTTCGAGGGGTGCATCGATTAGCTTGGGACCGAAGAGAGTACCAGAGCTGAGCCAAAAAGTTAAGCACGTTTCTTCGGAACCTTCTAGTCTTAGAGTCACCTCTATGTGACGACGACGATGTTTTCATGCGTTGTTATGTACGATGAACTACGTAAATCTTTCATCACTACAGGTACAATCAACAAGGAGATTTACCAGAAAGAGTGCCTGCAGAAACGATTCCTACCCTTCATCAAAAGCCACAAAGAAAACTCTTCCAGAGTTACGTCCAATCGAGAGATATTGGGCTCTGATGATACGGAAGCTTTCAGGAAAGAAACAAGGAATCAAAGACATCAAACACTTCTAACAAATTTGGACAAAGACGGCCACCACGGTATCTGAGGAGTCTGTGCAAACCCTAATGGATGGAGTTAAGCGCAAAGTTAATACGACAAACACGACAACAAACGGTTCTGCACCCAAGTTATTAACGAATAGGATTGTCAGTATCATACTCTTTTTTCGAGTGCCGATATTTCGGTACTGATAAATCAATACCGGTAAAATCAGAAAATTGCCGGTACCAAGGAATTTTAAGAAAATAAATCGAAAAAGAATAGAATAATAATTTATTTAAAGTAGTCTATCTTGCTGTACTCGCTCGCTTAAGGTTACTTCTTTAAATTTGTTTCCCATAAAAGTTACGAATAACCAAACATTGTCAAGCGATTGTGTTCTGAATATCCTATTATTCTGATTATTTAATTTTAAAACATGGAGAGCAAATTCAACGCATCGTCTCTAATATGAGAATGAATACAAGCCACGAGATTTCCAGACACAGAAAAGTACAATTAGTGCTGTCATGGTACATTTAGGGCTGATTACTCACTGATTTTGCATGTGTGCGCTTTGCTCACGGCAAATCCATGCGCCTCCTTTAAGGAGCGTCCATAATCGAAATTATGGAAAGTACATATTATGTTTTGGGTATTGACGCATTTCGCACCAAATCGCATCGGAGCTAGCAGCACCCTCTCAGATTTCAATTAAACTTTGGATGTGTGGATCTTGACTAAATAAGCCACTTTGCATACTTAGTTTTTTTCCAAAATTTATCTAGACTATCATTTGAGAAGGGCTAGGAAACAAAATGATTTGTTCCAGTCATAGGTCTACTAATTTCAGCCTCAGTAGTAGACAAAATGATCAATAATATTATTTTCTAATGATATAAGCCATTTTCATATAGAATTCTCGATTAATCGAAGTGAACTTTGAGACAAAATTTTATTATACAAATCAATTATGACCGTTTTTTAAATCGACTTTAAATTTTTTAAATCTTTTTTTTTTCAGTGTAGAAGTTTTTTAGTATTGTTATTCAAAAATTTGGGCAATTTGCTAAAAATCATCCGCTCAACACTTTTTTGTAGAGGTTGTCATTTTTGCATTATTATTTTTAGAAAAAAATCGGCAAAAAAAGTTTGGCCTTTCTCAAATGATAGTCTAGATAAATTTCGGAAAAACTAAGTATGCATTTAGTCAAAGTCCAAACATCCAGAAAGTTTCATTGAAATCTGAAAGGGTGCTGCCAGCTCCGAACACAGAAGCAGATTCAATTTAATGAACGTTGTTGCAACAATTTCCGTAATTTATGCTCTGGAAAACTAGAAGTGATAGGACATATCATCAGTCATCATGACGGTCATTTGTGGACTTTTCAGGGAATACCCTTAATAAACAATTTTTTCTGCGCTAAAATCTTCCACTGTGGCTTCATGCTAACGGTTGAAATAATTCGCAATATTCTGATAAAACGTCTGGCACCAGCAGCAAAACAAATTTGCATTTGTGACAGTATCACGCATACACTTCCTGTACAAACATATAAAACCGTATCAAATTTACGCCGTTATCAGCAAACATACTTAATTAACCCCACCTAGATAAAAAAAAAGATCCGTGTCGAATCCAAATTCACATGCATCCAAATTACCTCATTTCAATGATTCAGCCCCACAAAATATTTAACAACAGCCTCCATTGATACAATAACCTCCACCAGTACAATTCATTTACGACCTTCATCATCCGGATCCGAATTTCAAGGTTAAGGTCAACCCAGCGCCGATCTTGCGAGAAGCATTTCTTCCATGTGCATAACTGGCAAAAGAACAACGCTTCCCATTTATCAAACTATGCAAACTGCCTTGGCCGCTGCTGCCACTATCACCCGCGTGAACTGAACTAGATATCCGTTATCTATTTAAGTCAATTGCATTTTTCGACAGTTCAGTCTTGTGAAGTCTTTCGAAGCTCTAGGATCGTAGCGAAAATGTTCCTCGTCTCGGGTTGGATTATTCTTGCGATTGCGATCAGTCGGATCGATTGCGGGCTGCTGGATATGTTCAATGCCAATTCGGACTACAATCTGGCCCAGTCCATGGATGCGGTTTTTGGAGCGCTACAAAACGATATCAGCTACATGCTGACGGGAGATCTTACCACTACGGTTGAGGAGGATGTCACTTTTTGGTGCAGCAATGGGTGCGTGAATCGGCGAATGATTTTAATTTTGAGTGATCGATTTTGATTGAATTGTTTTAGGAGTTCAACCGTACTGAGGCAAGCGACCATAAACGATTCCTATATAAGTCAAAAGATCGACCCCTCGAAGCAAGTGAGCTTTGTTATCCATGGATGGATGGACGATATGTCTTTAAATTGGTTCCAGCAGCTCGTTCAGGACGTACTGAAGTTCTACGGAGGCAACGTTTGTGCGGTGAATTGGGGCCACCTGGCGCGTTACAACTACTACCGGACTGCAGTGAATCATACGATGATAGCTTCTGGATATCTAACCAAATTCGTTCAGTTTTTACAAACGACCGGAGTGCCGATGGAGAAGATCACAATGATCGGTCACAGCATGGGAGCTCAAATCAGCGGACAGGTTGGATACAATCTCGGTGGAAGGATCGGCAAGATTTACGGCTTGGATCCGGCTGGACCATGCTTCACCCTTCCTAGAGATCGTGGACTGCAGTACCGATTGGATCGCAGTGATGCCAGATATGTCCAAACGATCATCACTTCGCGGCTGACGATCGGAGTAGGCGTTGGCGAAGGCCATGAGAACTTTTACCCAAATGGTGGCGCCTCTCCACAAACGAACTGTGTCATTCCGCTGACCAGTGATGCCGAATTTGCGGGGCAAATTTTGTGCAGCCATATGCATTCGACAACACTGTTCCGTTTGTCGTTGAACCCGAGCCTTGTTTACCGTGGAAAGAAGTGTATCAATTGGCCTTCGTACCTTCTGGGGTTGTGTGGATTGAATAAGGCTAATGTTCTTGGTATTCATAGCGATAAATCAGGTGGAGATTACTTCCTTAGGACTGCAGTATTTTCACCGTACACAGTGCGCTTATAGATAATATAAATAAAGTCTGGTTAAAAGTAAATTTGGATGCAGTTTTCAATGTGGAACCACAGACAAACAGACGTAACTCTTAGAAACAGTTTTTCTTGCAAACATAGTATCTCAAAACATAGGACCTCAGCAACGACATCTCTCGGGCTTCTCGCGGAAAACAAGCTTGCTCGCCAACTCGCAAACAATATTGCATAAAAGTTCTATAGAATGTATAGAAACGTCAAAGTGATCCGATGCCAGCGCGGAACTTATAATATTCAAATCAACCGTTAAATGCGTGAACGAAGATACACAATGAAGTGTTACGTCTGTTTGTCTGTGGTGGAACTGTACCCCTAGTATTCGGAGACAGAAACATTTGATTGCAGTTTGTTTATTATGCTTTGACTAAATGGTAAAATTTCCAACAAAAGAGGTCTACACGCATCAAAGTTATAGACCATGCAGCTTTAAATAAGACAATGTACACTCAAAAGTTATTCAAATCTAAATAGATTAAAAGCTACGCTAAATCGCAACTCTCCTGACTGACGCATAGCTTTGTATAAAGAAAGAGAATGCACACTTAGTATAAAAATGGTTTACACGAGAATGTGTATTTTTGGACTTTATACATGCAATGTTTAAAGGAGATTTATTCATTGTGTTGCTAGAGAGGTGATTTTGTTTTGATTTCATTTATAAATGGATTCCAGATGTTTGAATAAAATTAAAATGACAATCATTCTAAGAGTTTATTTAGATTTGCATAAATGTACAATATTTATTTTGTTGCAGCATGCAACACTGGAATGAAGGTCACTCGGCTGTTTATAAACATTTGTTGGGGCAAATCTAGTTGATCCTCTTTCATCATGAATAGCAACAGCGACGTAATTGGGCTGCCTCCAGATCATCTCCAGATGGTTGATGGTGATAAGTTCAATAATCTTGACAAAGAATTATGTTTTCCAGGGTTTTTGTTTTGTTAGTTGTGGTTTTAACTGCTTTTCAGCAGTTAAAGATTTCCGAAATTGGACGGCACCATCTGAAATCAAATAATAGCAACATATTTTGGAATTAACATTTAGGAAGCTCGAAGAATATAGGGGAAAGTCAGTGAGACCTAAGAAACACTTACGGGTAGGTACTGTTGAAGGAACATTTGTAGGGCTGCTTGCTCTCTATGTAGGTTGTTCCCAAAGGACTGTCCAGCTTGTGCTCCTCCATGGTTTCCTCTTCCTGCAGTGCGGATTTTAAGTTCTGGTTCTGCAGTTGACTGTATTCCAAAAAAGTACTGGACTACTCTGCGAAATGCTTCCAGACAGAACCGGGCTGGTTCAACGGGGGGAAAGCACCTTTTCAATGCCATAAGTAGCATTAAAACAAGTTATTCGATGTGCTACCGTCCAATAAGTTTGCTTTTTTCAATAAGTAAACTTTTTGAAAAGATAATTTTGAATAGAATGATGCTTCACATCAATACGAACTCAATTTTTGCAGATGAGCAGTTTGGATTTCGCGATGGGCATTCAACTACTCATCAACTCTTAAGAGTTAAAAATTTAATTCGTTCAAACAAATCTGAAGGCCACTCAACTGGAGTTGCTCTTCTAGACATAGAAAAAGCATTCGACAGTGTTTGGCATGAAGGTTTGATTGCTAAATTGAAAAAGTTTAATTTTCCACTTTATATTATGAAATTAGTTCAAAATTATTTAACTGACAGAACTCTTCAAGTAAATTATCAAAATTCCAAATCTAATCGACTACCTGTTAGGGCAGGAGTTCCTCAGGGTAGCATTCTTGGGCCTATATTGTATAACATTTTCACTTTGGACCTCCCTGATTTGCCTCAGGGTTGCCACAAATCTTTGTTCGCTGATGACACAGGCATTTCCGCTAAAGGAAGAAGTCTACGTGTTATTTGTAGCAGACTGCAGAAAAGTTTAGTTATTTTCTCTTCTTATTTACAAAAATGGAAGATTTCTCCCAACGCTTCCAAAACTCAACTTATAATATTTCCACATAAGCCTAGAGCTTCGTTTTTGAAACCTAGTAGTAGTCACATAGTCACTATGAACGGAGTTCCAATTTCCTGGTCAAACCAAGTGAAATATCTTGGATTAATACTTGACCATAAATTAACTTTTAAAGATCACATTGAGGGCATTCAAGCCAAATGTAACAAATATATAAAATGTTTGTATCCTCTTATTAACAGGAAATCCAAACTTTGCCTGACGAATAAACTTCTAATATTTAAACAAGTTTTTAGACCGGCCATGCTTTACGCTGTGCCAATATGGTCTAGTTGCTGCACTACCAGGAAAAAAGCACTTCAAAGGATTCAGAACAAAATTCTGAAAATGATTTTGAAGTTGCCTCCCTGGTACAGTACAACCGAAGTACATAGAATTTCGAATGTTGAGACTTTAGCACAAATGTCCAACAAAATAATTAATAATTTCAGGCAAAAATCGTTGCAATCCTCAATTGCAACGATTAATTCCCTTTATACTTAGATAAGATTTAGTTTTAGTTTTTACTTTTAAGATATCAATTGTTATACTGACATGCAGGTTAAAAAAACATGACATGAACAATGTAAAAACACTTAGATATATATCATAACAATTAAGGCTGGTACGTTACTGCAGTAACTGGAGCACCTAGGTTAAAATGAAATGTAATTTATTTTGAATTTCGAACAAATAAAGAGTTAAAAAAAAAAAAAAAAAAAGTTATTCGATGTCATGTATAAATAGAAATCTAAAATTGATTACTTTCTAATCATAGAGATGGGTAAACGAAGCTTAATAAACAAAAGTATAAATTTTATTATATTTCCGATTAGTTATATTTTTGAGTGTATGCTGCACAAAAACCACAATGGAATAACACAGATAAACAGACATAACTCGTAGAAGAAAATTCTTAAAAAATATCGTCAAGCGTACACGGCGAATGAGAACGACCCAAATTTGAGTTTAGTTCACTCATAATCGCCAAAAGTGCAGGAACTCAGCGATGAGTAAAATTTGTCTCATGGTTTCCTGTGGAAAACCTAAAAAATCTGCCGGAAAATGAGGAAATTGACAAAAATTTTATTCAGTCAGTCAGTCAGTCACATCACACTTCTAGCTTGACTTTTAGCTCTTACCTCGTGAAAATCACCTCGGGTTGCTGTTTTTCGTCATGTTGCTACAATAATGAGACTTCTGTCCTACGCATTATTTTCACCCGAATTAACACCGGCCAGATGGAATCTGCTAGCACAATAAAACTTCCGTTCGAGCTTCCTTCGCGTATCCTCTTGAGCCGTGATTTTTTTTTCGACATGTCTCCGAAATGCAAAATAACAATAATGTGTATACCCATTTTTATTGCAAGAAGACATTTTTTAAAGTGAATAAAAAGTAACAATTTTTCATTTTTGGAAAATACCCATTTTTTGACAACTTAGTTGAATTCCAAATAAGAGTAAAAGATACTCATTAAATGGGTACTTTCAAGTTAGCGTGTGGACATTCCCAAGCATTGATTTGCAACCGGAGCATCCCTCGTTCATGTAATTTTTTCACTAGTTGCTTTTTCCTCGTTTTGTCAACACGTCAGCTATGTTGAATGAAAACAAAACAAGTCTGTGCCATAAAAAAGGGAGATGCAAGTAATAGCGAATTAGTTTATTATCCAGGTTGGAACCAGATCCAACCCGGGCAAACCCGAGATTATTGTCAGTGCAAACCTCAACCCAAGCCAGGTTACAAAAACAAACGTTCACACGAACGTTTGACAGACAACAAGCAGACCCAATCTTGATACCCGATCCAGGCTGGAACTGAATCAAAAATAAATTCGCTACAAGTGATGTCGGTTGATCTATATCACAATCTATGATGAATTAATTTAATGTCAACTCGATCACACGTGATGTGTTGTGATTCATTGACATTAAATTAATTGGCCACTTTGTCAAGCAGTTTTGGCGTGACTTTCTACCAGCGATTTCACAAAACTGGACCAAATAATTCAAGCATAACTTTTCAAAAGGACGTAAGTCGAAAAAATAAACAAATCAATATTTTGCATCTAACCGAATATAAAATACATGCTTTTCCTACGAGTTAATGAAAAACAAGGTTTGAAATTGTAATGCATTATGGAAAATATATTTAATGAACGCCCTATGTGTCCTTCTTTCATTGTTTTTAAAATGGTGTTGATACACCCTTTTATTGTCAACATGACTTAACTGTTTAAATTTGATGATAACACAAAAACTGCAGATGTCATTCTTCTGCAAGAACGTTTTTCACAGATGGATCTCTAATAGAGGAGTCCGCTGGTTTTGGTGTATCTAATGAATTTCATAGCGCCTCTCGAAAACTTGAAGCTCCTTGTTCTGTGTATGTGACTGAACTGGCAGAAATTCACTACACTTTGGAAACTATTGCTTCACTTCTTCCACACCACTACTTTATTTTTACGGATAGTCTCAGTTCTGTCGAGGCTATCCGTTCCATTAGGCCGGTAAAGCACTTCTCGTATTTTCTCTTGAAAATACGAGAACTGCTTAGTGCTTTATCCGTGCGCTCTTTCATCATCACCTTCGCGTGGGTCCCTTCGCATTGCTCAATTTTGGGCAATGAGAAGGCGGATTCACCTGCGAAGGTGGGCATAGCGCATAGGCATAGCGTGGGCATAGGCGACATTTATGATCGACAAATCGCCTATAGTGAATTTTTCTCTATTTATCGTCAGCAGTCGCTCGTTAGCTGGCAACATCAATGGAGTGAAGGGAGCTTGGGACGATGGCTACATTCAATTATCCCTAAGGTGTCGAAGTTTGCATGGTACAAAGGGTTGGACTTGGGTCGAGACTTTATACGCGTGATGTCTCGTCTCATGTCCAATCACTATTGTCTAAACGCTCACTTGTTCCGTGTGGGGTTGGGAGACAGCAATCTCTGTGGATGTGGACAAGGTTACCAGGACGCTGATCACATCCTTTGGTC